AGCTGTGTGACTCTGAACAGGTCACTTAACCCTGTTTGCCTCAGTTCCTCATCTGTAAAATGATCTGAAGAAGGAAATGGCAAAGCACTCCATTATCTTTGCCAAGAAAACCCCAAATGGAGTCATTAAGAGTTGGACATGACTGAACAACAATAATATTTAGAAGTTTTTTATCTGATTGTGATGAGATTGTGGGCTTAGCTGCATTCCACTATCAAATAGTACATTCTTGTTATTCAGAGCTGCTCTAGCTCTGTTACAATTGAGCAAAGTTCAAATATTATCAAAAGTCCATACAGTAACATATAATTATCCACCTTTTCTCTTTTATTCCAGAACTCAAGGTAATTCTTTATACTTCCTTGGCTAACTTCTTCACTCCTTCTGTTTAAATCTGTTGATTCAATCTTCACACCATCTTGTCCATTTGTCCCCACCTCTTCATCCCTACTGTTACTATCCTAGTACAGGTTTTCATTACAACTTGCTGGGACAATTGTAACAGCCTCCTAAGCGACCTTTCTGTCTCCATTCTTTTTCCAATTGCCAGACTCATCTTCCTCATGCATATTTCTGGTTAGGTCCATTCTGCTCCCTCGTTATTACCAAGTCATGTAATCTATTACGACCTTGCTTTTCTGACATTATGTCAGAACCTTCTGCTCCTGATTACATTAAACTCCAGGAAAACTGGACCACTGCCAACCCCTATCCACATCCTGTATTCTTACCTTCAGATCTTTGCTGAAATCATTTCCTATGCCTGCAATGCTCACTGAATTCTTATCTAACCTTCAAAGTTCAAGTAACTTGCCACCTGCTTCAGGAATCCCTAATCCCTCCAGTTGAAAACCCATTTATATACATCTTACACCTTATTTAATCTTCAAAAAAAAAATCATGTATCACATTTTATAGTGATTTGTGTCCCATCCCATTCCCAGACTGTAAGCTCAATGAAAGCATGGACTATGTCTAATTTAAATATTTTATCTGTCCCACTGCCTAGCATACAGAAGGCACTTAATAAATATTTGTTCAACTAGGGGCAGAACAAAGTTCTGTAAATTCAGAAAGGAAAACTTCTGCCCATAAATCATGGAATCTGAGACTATTGCTGCTATAACAGATTGTATGACCTAATCTTAAGGGATCTAATCCAACCTCTTCATTTTACAGATGAAGAAACTAAGGACCAGAGATATTAAGTCATTTGCTCAAGGTCATTCAGTTAGTAAGGCTGTGATGTCTAGGAACCTATGTATTTGAACCTTAGGGGACATTTAGTCCAATTATTTCTCATTTTTGAGATAAGAAGTGGTAAAACCAAAATTCAAATCCAGTTCTCTATTCCAGCACTCTTTATATACCTCTGGGGATTCTACTTTTTTAGTCATGCCTTGCCTCTCTAAATGAGAGATAGTAAAATAATAATGATAATAATAACAACTAGCATTTATAAAGTGCTACTATGTGCCAGGTACTAAGCTAAACACTTTACAAATATTATCTCCTTTGATTCTCACAACAACCCTGAGAGGTAGGTGGTATCATCTCCATTTACACCTGAGGAAACCAAAGCAAACAGAGATTAAGTAACTTGCCCAAGGACACACAATTAGGAAGTGTCTGAGGCTGAGTTTGAACTCAGGTGAAGTTTTGGCCCTCACTAAAATATAACTGTGTGTCTGGAGAATAAAAAGAAGTTATGCTGATTTATGTTGTTTATTCCTTATGATTTTTAATCAACAGCACAGTCTGTATCCAGTGGGATACATACACACGAATAGATTAGTCTGCTTGTTGAAAGCACAGGAACTGATGATCAGAAAATGACAGTAACACTGAGTAAACTAATTTTAACATGACAATTTTTTTTAAACACCATACTCTATGGTGATAAACCAAAGATATAATTTTGTAGTATAATATTGTATGTATACATATATACATATATATATATAATAGTTAAGGCATACTTACTTTGAACATCCCCCACATATAAATTATTCGAACATTTTAAAGAGTCTATAGCTTATGGGATAACTTACTTTTAATACAAACTCTTGTCCCTCTAGAGGAATCAATAAAGTTATTGCCTCAGGAGACAGAACCTTTCCTGTCACTGGATGTCTTCAAGCAGACACATTAGTCAGTAATGCTACAGACAGATCCAAACGGACAGAACTCAATACTTTTTTTTTTTAATTTTCCTAACAGCCCATGTGACTGCACTGAGGAAAGAGCAGACATAAATGACTGACTGCCTGAATGACTGTTCTAGGGAAAAGAAAAAGAAACTGAAAATGAGTAGCACTCTTTATGGAAGCCATCTTCTACTAGAATGTGTCCATTCTTCTAGAAGAGAGAAGTTGGGACAAAGATATTACATTATGTCAGAAAGAAAGAGGTCCACACACTAAGAACCATGTGATGAGATTTCAAGAGATAGAGAGGAGACTTTGACTCACTCGGGATCTGGCTGTCAGAGGCCTATTGGCCATTTCCTTCTGTGTTCTTTGCTTTGAGGGAAAAGCAGAGTCCTGAGAATATCAAGCTGAGATAAAGACAAAAAAAAAAATAGGGCAGCCAATGGTGGTGGGGGGGGGAGGAGAAGAAATCCCTTCCTGTTGTTATTTTAAAGTGCTTTGCTGCACTTGGTGACTCAAAAACAGAAAACCAGCCCTCTGGATACAATGGTCAACATGGTAACTATGAGGGAGAAAGGGGTGCCGTGGTCCTAAAAATCTAAGGAGAGCCCCTGGTATTCTCTTAGATACACAAATGAACACCGGTTGCTATGAACAAAGCTCTTCAAAGATAAGGCAAAGCAGCACCAGGAGGAACAGTAGTCAAACGAAATTCCAAAGAGACCTTTTGGAGGTAGCCTGGTATACTTTAAAGAGAATAGTATCAGAAGATTTGGCAACAATTCCTGTGCCTGCCAGGATAGGACTTTTTCTAAGTCCTACTTTTTTGAGGATTCTGAAAAGTTGTTCCATTACACAAAAATCTGCTTTTTCCTGACTAATCTGCCTCTTTCCTGATAAAAGAGAGTTTGAGTTTTAGAAGTCTCAGGTCAGGTGTGTCCTCTAGGCGAGATACTTACTTCATAAGATCTCTCTCTACCTCAGCTCTCTTGTCTCCCTAGAAAGAACTCTCTCTCTGATGAATACAAGTTACTTCCTTTCTCTAGGAATGAGTCATTTTCTTCACCTGTAAAATAAAGTGGTTGGACTAGATAATCTGTGCCACTCTACAACTCCTCAGGCACATAGGTGTGTATGGAGCTCTTATCAGATACATACTTCTCATTTTAACATCACCCACCATATTCTTAGAACCAGGAAATAGAGACAAACCTTCCTTCTTCTCCTAGCATCCTCCACTGACATCAAGGATACTCAGTCACTGAGTTGGTCATACCCAGGTTGGTCAAACAGTCAAAGAGAAGGGTCATGCAATGGGAACAAATAGACGATCATACCTAGAGGGTTAGACCCACACTAGGATCATGAACACTGTCATCTAACATGGTCACATCTCCAGACAACCATGCACCTAGGGTCAAGCACCCAGCTGGTCACCTGACATAGCAGAACATAAGTAGTGATTATCATACACATGGCCTCATATATCAGACCCACTCACACACATGTGTGTGCATGGGTACACAGAGACAATTACACACAGATGTGGCCACAAATAACTACACAAATGCATGCACAAAGGCAACCACACACACACAAGGTCACAACCATACACAAACACATATGGTCATACATACAAGTGCTCACATACACTAATGTATTGACACACACATAAACTGTCACATACACATATGTCACCAAAAACACACAGCAAACAAACACATATAGTCATTCCTTCACAAACACAGTCAGGCATACAGAAGACCACACTCAAATACAAATATAAAATCACACAAAGTGAACAAATACACACACACATCTAAGATCACATAGGGGTGACCCCATATACAAGACCATATGCATTTGAAAACAAGTAGAGCCACACAGAAGTAATCACACAAACATGAGTACATGATGTTGCATGTATGGCTTCCTTTGTGTATGTCTACACATAACAAGATCATTCACACAGCTAACCACACACACAGATCATACACACACAGGGTCATGCACCCAGGTTACCATACACATGGTCATGCTTAGGCAACCACATACAAATGACCACATACAGGTGAACACATAAATGGTCATATAACGGGCACTTGTGGGAGACCATAAAGGTCACACAACTGAGTCATGCACGTAGACAACCACATATACACAAAGTCACACTCAGTAATGATTTTACCTATGCATACAAGGTCACATAGGCAACCAGATAAAAGGCCACGAATACAGGAGACCCTCTCCTCCCTTTCTTTCTCGCCAACATTCACCTCATGCGCCCCCATAGCCCAGTCATACATACAGAGGCGACCACACAATACGGTGACAAGGCACAACAGACTGTCACACTGTTACATGGAGAATTGTACCACAGGGTCACACAGGAAATTAGGCACAGGGATGGTCACTCACATGGGGTAATGCACACTGAGGCAGCAGAGAGCAGTGGAAGCATGCCCGACCCGGGGGGCAGCGGATGGGAGCTCGGGCTGAGTTCTGACATTTACCACCTGAGGGATGCCCCACAAGTCCCTTCCCCGTTCCCCAGTTTCCTCATGTTTAAAGCCAGAGGCTTGGATGAGAAGACCTCTAGGGGCCCCTCCGGGTCTCGGATCCCGCAGAGCCGCCCTGTGCGACGCGCAGGCTCAGTCCAAGCCTCGGTCCGGTCCAGGGATGCCGGGCAGCCTGAGGGGCTGAGGTCGGAGCACGCGAGGTTGGCGGGTCCGAGAAATCCCAGTGGCATACGCTGCCGCAGCCTCGCACCGTGTTCTCCCGGCTGCCAGCCAGTCCCAGAGCGCTCGAGCACAGACTGAAGCAGGGGAAAGGGGATGGAGCCGGACTCACCTTGAACTTGGAGCTGACCTGACGGACAATGCACCAAACCAGGAGAAAAGGACACTGCGCAGAAGCCTGGGCAGCGCCACGCCACCCAACTACCATTCCCAGAATCCCCCGGGGCGCCCCGCCTCCGCCTCCCGGCATCCTTCGTGCCTGGAGCCTGGCGTTTGTTGCATAACCTCCGGAGCCGGAGCCGGGGCCGGGGCTGGGGCTGGGGCCGGAGCCGCGGGCGACGTGGTGCTCCTTGGTGTGCCGCCATTCTGACTCTGCGAACGCTTTTGAATTTGTTTTGGGGGGTGGGTGGGTCGGGATGGCGGTGTTGGCGTCATGGGGTGGAGAGGAGAGGGAACGTGTATGTGGACGTCTTGGTCTCACTTGCACTCAGGAGAGAGCGGGGGCGGGGCAGGGGGGCGGAGGGCGAGGGGCCGTGGGGGAGAGGAAGAGGTGTGATGGGTGTGACGAGCTGGGGAGGAGCTGCAGCCGGCCTACGCGGGGCTGAGGCCCGCACCACACCCACTCCTCGGGGAAGAGAGCGGGGTCTGGCGGAGAAGTGGGGACCGAACTTCCCCAAATCGCCCCTCCCCCTTCCCATCCCCTGTCCTGGTCAGTTCTTAATCCTAGGCTGATTCACATTCATCATATGAACTCCATCTCCAGGCCCTAGTTTAACTCGCCTTCTTGGCTTAAGGGCGGGTGTAGTGCAAACCAGAGTTTCTTCTGGGGCTGAGTCAGGATGAAGGAAGAAGTGCTGACTGTGTTCAAAGCTCTGGTGATAAAGAGAGTAAAGCTAAGGGAATCTGCTCTCCAGAAGCTGATTCTCTACCAAGGGGGACAGCACAGAGGAGATTTCAGCTGAAAGTCAGATGGAAACTCCTGGGGTCCTTAGGGTACAGCAGCAAAGCTGATGGTAATGTATCAGAAATGTCATTTTCACTTAAGAAAATTAAAAGATTTTATGATATTGAAACATTTGATAGTGCTAAGGACGTGGGTGGAGAAAACTGTTTTCTAATTGTGAAGTATTTCTTGCTGCTGATGAGGCAGGGGCTGCAACATGTAGAAACAGTTTCCAGGTGACATCTTCAGAAGCAGGAAACTGGTATAAAAACTGACAGTCAAGCTTCTAAGAGGGTTAACGATGAGAGGACTAGTTGAGGCTTAATGGATGCAAAACTTATTAATCTATAGGACTTTGGGGGGTTGTTGATCTGTTGGGTCTTAACCTTTCATGACTATCTGCCTGAAGATTGTGATGTCAGGGAACATAGGTGATACTGAAGTGGAACCTGCTATTATAGCTTAAGCATGATTTAGACAGCCACGTATTCTGAAAGTATTCTATGTTCTCGTGGTCTGTGTAGGTCAGTGGTGTCAAATTCAATAGAAAGGGCCCCTGCTGGCCACATAGACTTAGAAACCACATATAAATACTTATGTTGTATTTTTAAAAATTGTAAAACATTTCCCAATTACATTTTAATCTAGTTTTCTTGGGAGTTTTGAGTTTGACATCTCT